CGGTGTCGCGCCCGGACCGGCCTGGGCCCGGCAACGGGACCGCAACCCTCGGTGTTGCGCCCGCACCTCGCTCAGCCAGTGAGCGGCCGGTCTGTATGTGGGATCCGAACCCTCCGCGGGAGCGCCACCGCACTTCCCAAGCGGCGCACTGTAGCAGTGCGCCACCGGGCCGGCCCCAGGGCTTTTTTTAACACCTTCAGTGAGGTATAATTGATATACACTTGCACATACTTACGTGTACAATTTAACATTTTGACATAGGTACACTGTACATGAAACCATTACCACAATCAAGAAAACAAACATGCCCATCACCCCACAACAGTTTCCTTGTGCCCTTTGTTTTCCCTCCTCCTGCTCATCTCTCATCCCCAGGCAACCACTGACTGTCACTCCAGATTTGATTGTATTCCCTGGAATTTTACATACATCGAATTTTACAGTATATATTCTTTTCGTCTGGCTTCTTTCACTCAGCATGATTATTTAGAGATTCATCTATGTTATTGTGTGTATCAATACTTTATTCTTTTTGTTGCTGAGCAGTATTCCATTGTATAGATATACCACAATTTCTTTATCTATCCACCTATTAATGGGCATTTGGGTTGTCCCCAGTTTTTGACTATTACAGATAAGACTTCTATGAACATTCAGTCTATATGGACATATGCTTTCATTTCTCTTGGAAAAATACCTAAGAGTGGAATGAATCATATGTTATGTGTTTAACTTGCCAAGAAACTGCCAAATTTTTCTCCAAAGTGGTTGTACTACATTACATCCCCACCAGCAATGTCTGAGAAATCCAGTTGCTCCAGATCCTCTCAAAACTTGGAATTTCAAGCATTCCAGTAGGTGTGTAGTGGAAGCTCATTGTGATCTTAATTTGCGATTCCCTAATCAGTAATGATGTCAAGCACCTTCTCATGTGTTTATAGGCTGTTTGTATATCTTCTTTGCAGAAATGTCTATTCAAATACTTTGCCCATTATTTTAATTGCCGTAGTCATTTTATCATTGAGTTGTAAGAGTTCTTTTTATATCCTGAATACTAGACTCTTATCAGATATATATAATTAACAAATCTTTGTCTTCCATTCTGTGGATTGTCTTTTCACTTTCTTAAAAAAAATTGGGTCGTGTGCTTTCTTATTATTAAGTTTTGAGAGTTCTTATCTATTCTGAATACAAGTCCTTTATCATATATATGATCTGTGTTTTCTTCCAATCTGTGACCTGTCTTTTCCCTTCTCTTACTAGTAATATTCAAAGAATTGAAGTTCTTAATTTTGATGGAGTCCAATTTATCAATTTTTTCTTTTGTGGATCAAACTTTTCGTGTTATATCTTAGAAATTTTTGCTTAACCCCAGGTCACACAGGATTTTCTCCTATATTTTCTTCAATAAGTTTTATAGTTTTAGGTTTAGCATTTAGGTTTAGAACCCACCTTGAGTTCATTTTTATACACAGTATGAGTTTTGGATCGAAATCATTTTTCTTTGCAAGTGGCTATCCAATCATTTCAGCACCATTTGTTGAAGACTGCTCTTTATTAAATTTGCACCTTTGTCGAAAATCAGTTGATCACATGTATGGCTCTATTTCTAGATTCTCTTTTGTTTCATTGAGCTATTTATCTATCCTTATTCCACACTGTCTTGATTACAGTAGCTTTATAATAAGTCCTGAAATCAGATAGTGTAAAACCCCCTTTATTAAGGAGCACCGGGAAGGATTTTTGTTCTTTGAAACATCCCCTGGGAAATCCCACTTGAAGGGAATCTTCCTGCTTTTACAGGCTCCCTTTCCACCACCACAGGGAAGCATAGATGAGACTTTGGGTAGGCCATGTCTTCTCTGGGCCTCAATTTCCTCATCCCTCAAAATAGGGGAATTCCTGAGCTACCTTCTGGGGTGCTGGGAAAGCCCAGTGAGATAATTCCTGCAGTGTCTGGACCATCATAAGTGTGTGATAACTGGTCTCCAGGTGAGTGCGGAGGTTCACCTGGGAACCAAGATGGGGCTCCCCACCCCTGGTGTTCTTGTCCTCAGCAGGGCCTGCAGTATCAGTTCATCCCAGGTCACCAGGCAGCAAATGGGCCAGACATGGTGCAGCCAACAGAGCTTTGTTGTACTTTGGACAGCTATGGACAGCCACTGGGCGATGAGCCCCCCAAGGAGGTGGGCCTGCTATACTTCAGGCCACAAGGGGCTCTGCCAAAGCCTGGCCCAGGGGGACATGAGGACAGCTCTCAGGAAGTAATGTTCCTGATGCCTGTGGTGACTCCCGAAGGAAAGTCAGCCAATCCCTTCCTGCCATCCACACCAGGACCTAGAACACCCAAAGAAGAGTAAGTCATCCTCCAACGCTGTTCCTTGCCCGCTGCCTGTCCCCAGCAAGGGTGTTCTCCTGCTAAGCTACTGAATCCACACCAGGACCTAGAACACCCAAAGAAGAGTAAGTCATCCTCCAACGCTGTTCCTTGCCTGCTGCCTGTCCCCAGCAAGGGTGTTCTCCTGCTAAGCTACTGCTGAGGTGAATTCTAGTCCTGACTGCTCCTGACCTGGTGCAGGACCTTGGGCAAGTCATGCCCCTCTGGGCCTCAATTTTCCCATCTGTATAGTAGCTCTAATACCAGAAATCTTTGGTTCGTGGACTTGTACAGATGAGGATATAAGGCAATGAGGAGCCCCTCTGAGATGAGAAGGCCAAGGAGATGAGGCTGGGGTGGTGGAACTGAATGTCCTGGGGGCTGAGAGGTGGGTGCAAGGGACAAGCCTTGCATTGAGCCCCTCCCCCACCTGGGGGTTTCTCCCCCATTTAGGAGCCAGCAGCACCAGGGCCTCCTCCTCCACCAGTAAGTAGGGCTATAGTGGTGAGAGGGGTACGGTGTGGGGAGGTGAGGGGGAAATCAGGAGGAGAAAGGGGGCAGAGGTGGGAATGGATGTATTCGGAGTCAAATGGGAAGGTGTGAGGGTGTGCCTATGTGCGAGGGTGTGCACACGTATGTGCACGTGTGTGTGTGTGTGATTGCACATGTGCATTGTGTATGTGTGTGTGTGTTTGGGGTGGAGGGCAGGGATGCTATACACTCTGAAGCCCTTGGGTTCATCTCAGGCTATGGCTTGTTCCCCATCAGCATGGGTTTCTTCCAGCCATTTGCCCTCAGCCACAGCCACACAATCCAAAGCTTCCCTGAACATCTGGAGGCTTCCCCGAGGCCCCCTCAGCCATCCCCACCTCTGCCAGCTCTGCCACTTCTCCTGTTTCGTGGTGGGCTCTGCATGGACAGAACTTGTACATTTTTTCCCCCAGCTGGCCAGTACAGGGATCTGAACCCTTGACCTTGGTAGAGCTTTTACATTTGATTTAGCAAACTGGAGCTTATTGAGACCTCAATAAAAAGTCTCATATTGGGATGATGACTGAAGCAAATATGCAGTCATCACCATCGCACCGCTGCCAACACCTGTCTCTTTCTGCTGTATTCACTGACATAACCCCCAGTGCTGGCTAAACCCGACCAGCTACATACCCTGCACCTGCCTCTGAGCTGCCCGGCATGGCTATAGAAGACCCTGTCTTATTGATGGCTCTGCTTTCCAGGAACGACCACTCATGGCAGATGCTCCTGGCAATCCTCAGCTGTCCCCTGGCCATGCCACACTCCCCCTCCACTCCAGGCTGTCCTTTCACAACAGCATCCCCCCATGCCATTGTCTTGCCTCATGTGTCTCCAAAGGACAAGAAGCATCAGATGAGGAGAGCCACTCCCAAACCCACCACCCTTCCTTCCTTCGCTTGGTTACAACAGGAGCTGTGAAGATGGGTCCCTGTCCCCATCAACTGCTGGCCCTCCCACTTATTCATTCGATCCCATCCTCTCCTCCCACCCCCACAGAGCCAATCTCCCCATTTGTACAGGACCGTTTCCGTCAGCATGCAGACATAGGTTAGTAGCTACAATATTAAAAGCCACACTCCAGCACCTCTCTTGGCCCACGCTCCCCTCTAGTTCCGTCCTCCATTCTCCGCTCAATGGCTCAAGAGCTGTCCACCCTCACCCACTCCACTTTCATGTCCTTCCTCAACCCGTCCTATTAGGAGACTTTGTATTGAGGTCTCAACAATCTGCATCTTGCTAAATCAAATGGAATAGCTCTGGGCTCACAGAGCCCACCTCGAAACAGTGTACGACCCAGAGGCTGCCTCCAACCTTCTCATCCTGTCTTCCCCAGGCTCCAGGACAGCTCCACCCCTGGTTCCCTCTCCCTGGTTCCTTCTCATTTTCTCCACCCTCAGGGCTCCACCCTCTGATCTCTCATCTCCACTCTCTCCCTGGTGATCTCATTCAGACCCTCCGATGAGTCCCAAATCCATATCGCCAAGCCAGACCTTGCCTTTAAATTCCAGGCTCATATATCCAGTTGCCTACTTGGATTCCAGTTGAGTGGCCAATTCACTTCTCAAACTGAACATGACCAGAGCAGAACACTTGATTTCCCACCTCAAACCTGCTCCTCCCTAATCTTCCTCATCTCAGCAAGTGACACTACCTTTCACTCAGGGGTTCATGCCAACCAGCTCAAAATCATTCCTCTTTTTCTGATTCCTCTCTTCCCCTCCACAATCCCTTCACACCCAGAGCATCAGAAAGCTCTTCCTAGCACCACCTACAAAATAAATCCTGAATCCATCCCTTCCCTCTACCCCCCTCTCATCACTCTGATCCATGCCTCATCCTCTTAGAATAAGATCCAAAATCTTCACCAAGACTCATAAGACCCTATGTCTAGCCACTCTGGTCTGATTTCCATCTCTTGAATATGCTCAGCTCATTCCCACCTCAGGGCCTTTGCACGTGCTATACCCTATGCCTGAAATTCTCCCTGACATTATCGTGGCTGACTCTGTGTAGTCATCCAGCTTTCAACTTAAAATGTCACTTTTCTCAGCAAGGCCTGCTCTGGCCACCCAACCTCAAGTAGCCTGTCAGCCACAGCCACTCTACCTATTTATCATATTACCCTCTTTTATCGTCTTTGTGGTACCTTCTCTATCTTACATTATCTTATTAATTTGTCAACCTATTTATTATCCAGAACATAAGCTCCATGAGGGAAGCCACTCAATTTAATTCACTACTTTATGGTCTGTGCCTAAAACAATGCCCAGCACCTGGTAGATGCTCAATATGACTTTGTTGAATAAATGAATGGGTGGGAATAATACCAGGTACCTCTCTGAACTGATGGGAGGTCAGAGGAGAAACAAGAAATATTCCTGGTGTGTGCATTTCCTCCTTCTCCCCCCACTACTTTATGGTCTGTGCCTAAAACAATGCCCAGCACCTGGTAGATGCTCAATATGACTTCGTTGAATAAATGAATGGGTGGGAATAATACCAGATACCTCTCTGAACTGATGGGAGGTCAGAGGAGAAACAAGAAATATTCCTGGTGTGTGCATTTCCTCCTTCTCCCCCTCCCTACCACGCATGCACAGCCCAGGCTGGACACTGTGGTGGTGGGAGAGGAGAGGGCACAATTTGGTTCCACAAGTTTGTATGGCGTGTCTATGGCATGCCGGGCCCTGTGCTTGGAGGGAAAGGACAAGGAAAGCAGGGGCCTGCACCTGCTCCTGAGGATTGTGTCTGAGCTGGTGGGACTAGCACAGAGGAGAGGTCTTGGACAAGAAATGCTGCCGGCATTCAGGGACAGAGCTTGGTGTCATCAGGCAGTCTTTCTGGAGAGGAAGGTCTGACATTAGGCCACACAGGGGGGATGGAATATGGACATAGCCGGGGAGTAGAAAGTGCACCCAGGCAGCAGGCCCAGCATAAAGGCACAGAGATGGGAATGAACATGGAGCCAGGGGTGACAATGGAAAGTTGGGTCTTGTGGAACAAGACTATTGGATATAATGGACAGGGCAGCTGGAAAGCTAGGCTGGGTCATGATAGGAAGCCTCCAGTTTGTGAAGAAGGTTCACTGTGCAATGGTTCCCAATTTGTCTGAGTCCAGTGAGGCAGAACACCCACACACAAGTTAATTGAAGCGGGTTTATTACTTATAGATAGGTAGCAGGAACAACAGACACCTAGGATTCATTGCAAGCCAGTCCCCCAAGGGACTCCAGAAAGCAGCCCAGCCTGGGTTTTATACCCTGGGGAAACATGATTTGCTGGGCTACACTGTTGAAGGATATCTTATTTCTAAGGGGGGATTGGAATGGAGCCCAGGCAGTTCTGGCCAGTCCCTCCCTATCTCAGGATATTGCATTCCCAGCACGTTCTGCAATTATTTTTGAGACCTACAAGCGAGAAAGTGGGGAGAACTGGCTGGTCCAAGGCCGCCTGGAGAGCTGTCCTGCACAGCACTGGAATGAGGTGTTTGGATCTGGCTCTTCCACATCCCTCTTAACACTTTGCACAGGCTGGGCCTGAGAATAAATACTAGACTGTGAGCATCCTGAGGGTGGGAGTTATGCACCCCAGCATCTGTGTGCCTGTGAGTATGTGTTGCATAGGTGGGTGGAGGGATGGGTCTGAAGGTCATAGGGAGCCACTGCAGGCTCAGGAGTGGCAGGGCAATGACAGCAGAGCTGCACAGAGGTCAGTCCAGCAGCATGTGCAGGACACTTGGTGCCAGTTGGAAGGGGCCCAGGGAAGGCAGAGAGAGTATTCCAGATGTGTGAGGGACTGAGAAGCTGGAGGGAAAGATGCCAGGGGCTTCGCATCATTGTTCGCCCACAGGCGAACCTGCTGGGAGCAAAGGTTGGTGCTGGATGTTAGAATGATGATGAAGGGTCTGAGACAGACCCCTCCCTGCCCTGGGGCTCAGAGGCTGTATCTGAGACAGGGCAGAGGCCCAGGACTTTGGGAGCACTGCCTGAGGGCCATGGGAAAGACGATGACAGTGAGATCAGACTCGTAGCCATCATGTGGGTCCCCTGCCATCACAGTGGAGTGGGAGCCCCAGAGCTGTTTTTGATGTTTGTTTGTTTGTCTGAAGCCTGACAGAAATTGAACACGTGGCCTTAATTCAGGAAAATGATCAGAGTCGTCTTTGGAAGGGGGAAATTTGGGGCTCCCTTCTGGGTCACTGTGTCAGTCCATTTTCTGTTGCTATAACAGAAACACCTGAGACTGGGTAATTTATAAGGAAAAGAGGTTTATTTGGCTTACGATTCTGGGACAGCTGTATCTGGCACGGGCCTCAGGCTGCTTCTACTCATGGCAGAGAGCGGCGGGTACAAGCAGATCACATGGCAATAGAGAGAGAACTCACTCAGGATCCCCCCATCCCCCAGGGAGAGCATTAATCCATTCATGAGGGATCCGCCCCCATGACCCAATCAGTTTCCAACACTGCCACATTGGGGATCAAATTTCCACATGAGTTTTGGAGGGGACGACACATCCAAACTCCATCAGCCACAGAATACCCAACTATAATTCTTTTCAACACTACCGTTTGCTGAGCACTCACCCTTCACTAAGTGCTTTGTTCCTACTACCTGGCTCTTCAGACGTTTTTTTTTTTCCCCTTTTTGTCTTTTTTCGTGTCCGGCAATGGATCGCAACCCTCAGTGTCGCGCCCGTACCGGACCGGGACCGGCAACGGGATCGCAACCCACAGTGTTGCTCCCACACCTTGCTCAGCCAGTGAGCGGCAGGTCTGTATATGGGATCCAAACCGTCGGCGGGAGCACCACCGCGCTTCCCAAGCAGCGCACTGTAGCAGTGCGCCACCGGGCCAGCCCTTCAGACGTTTTTGAGAAAAGTGAAATAATTAGTGTTTAGTTACACAAATTTATTGAGGACGACACACCAAACACAGCTGTGACACTGGGGACTTAATGGTGAATAAAGCTTATGATCTGGTTAGGGGAGAGAGACCATTAACACGTAAACACATTAGTACAGTTTCACTGTAAATAACAAAGCTTTGGAGCAAACCAAGTGGAGAAGGGGGAACGATTTGGAGGTGGTTGAAGGACACTCTGATGGAGTACTCAGCAGTCGAGGGGGTGACGTTTGAGTTAAGATCTGAATGGCAAAAAGGAGTGAGCCTGCACAGATACGGGATGGGAGCGTTCTGAGCAGAGGCAGCAGGTGCACAAAGACTCTGGTGGAAACGAGGGCGTCCAGACCAAGCCCAGCAGGCAGGACAGAGTAGGAGAAGGCAGGAGGGCAGGAGGGGCTGGGAGGTGAGGTCAGAGGCATGGTGGGGGCCGGTCGTGCAGAGTCTTGCAGGCCAGGGTGAGGGTTCTGGAATAAAGGTCTAAGCTAAGCCATTGAAGAGTTCTAGGCAAGAGTGTGGGATGAGCTGATGTGGGCTGGAAACACCGATGCAGCAGCTGGGTGGATGATGAATGTGGTGTGGGCCAAGGGCGGAGGCTGGCAGCGCCCTGGACGAGAGAGGGTGGTATGACTTGGTCTGGGGTGGTCGCAGCCAAGGTGGTAGGAAGTGAGTAGGGATTTGGGAGGTGCTGCCAACAGGATTTGCTAATGAGCTGCGTGGTGGAGAGGTGGGTTGGAAAAGAGGAATCACAAAGGACTCTAGGCTCATGCCAGTTAGGGTGGCTACTACCAACAAGAAAAAAAAAAGAAAATAGCAAGTGTGGGAGAAGATGGGAGAAACTGGAGCCCTCGGGTGCTGTTGGTAGGAATGGAAAGTGATGCAGCCACTGGGAAAACAGTTCCGCAGTTCCTCAAACAACTAAAAATAGAATTACCAAGTAATCCAGTAATTCCATTTCAGGTTGTATACCCCAAAGAATTGAAAGCAGGGTCTTTTTTTTTTAAAAGATGACCGGTAAGGGGAACTTAACCCTTGACTTGGTGTTGTCAGCGGCCGGGCTTGGGCGCTCTCAGGAGACCTCTTCAGTGTCGGCCCCAAAACCTCGAACCCGCTGCCGCTTATTTGTCGATGTAGGATCGTTGTTGAAAGATTTATTCATCCTTTGTTGCTCTTGGAAATGCAGTCAATACTCTGGTATCACAGCACACAGCTCTCAGGATCGCGCTGTTTCCTGACGCGGGCGCTCCAGACCCGTCGCCATTTTTCAAAAGCTTCATTCTTGGCACAACTTCTCAGTTCTGTGGCAGAACAACAAAGGCCTAGGATTCCACATTTGAAAAGTGAAGCTTGGATCCAAAAGCATGTACTCTAGGCAGCACCACCGTCGCTTGCCGGGAGCGCCCGCGCCCGCACTCAGATCCCGCGGCGGCGGCGGCGGTGAGTCCGGCGCGGGTAAACAGGCACCTCCGTCCCTTTTCTTTTTTTTTTTTCCCTTTTTGTCTTTTTTTTTTACTGACCGGTAACGGGATCACAACCCTCGGCGTCACGCCCGCACCGCGCTCAGCCAGTGAGCGGGAACCGGTCTCCACATGGGATCTGGCGGGAGCGCTGCCGCACTCCCAAGCAGCACACTCTCCAGTGTGCCACCGGGCCGGCCCGAAAGCAGGGTCTTGAAGAGATATTTGTATACACATGTTCATTGCAGCATTATTCACAATGGCTAATATACAAAAGCAACCCATGTGTCCATCGAGGGATAAATGGATGACCAGGATGTGGTACATCCATACAATGGAATATTATCCAGCCTTAAAAAGGAAGGGAATTCTGACATGTGCTACAACGTGGACAGACCTTGAGGACAGTATGTTAAGTGAAATAAGCCAGTCATAAAAAGACAAATACTAGGGAGTCAAATTCATAGAGAGAGAAAGTAGAATGGTGGTTACCAGGGGCTGGGAGAAGGAAAGAATAAGGAGTTATTATTAAATGGGGATAGCTGGCCAGTTAGCTCACTCCACAGAGCATGGTGCTGGGAACACCAAGGTCAAAGGTTTCATACTGGCCAGCTGCCCCCCCCCAAAAAAAGAAAGAAATGGTTATTTAATGGGTGTGTAATCTCAATTTTGCAAGATGAAAAGAGTTATGGAGAGGGCTAATGGTGATGGTTGCACTTTATGAATGTATTTAATACCACCGAACTGTACACTTAAATAGTTAAGATGGTAAATTTCATGTTATGTGTATTTTATCACAATAAAAAAAAGTTGGGAGAGGGGGGAGGAAATGAAAGGACCCCGAGAGTGGGTGGTAGGGAGAAGCCTTGTGGGGCAGTCTGGCCAGCTGGAGGCCTCCTGAATCTCATCCCTGTCCCCAGGAGGTGAAGGACATTGGAGAGAGGAGGGAGCTGGGCTGTGCGCAGAAGCAGCCTCAGGAGCTCGTGATGGCTGCAGGGGCCCAGAACCTCAGGAACCCCCAGCAGGGCTTCATGAAGTGCTTGCTGGAGGTGGAGGAGGAGGAAGCCACCCATCGGAGGGCCTCAAAGGCCCGGGCCCTGCCAGCCCGGAAGTCCCCGAGGACCCTGACCCCTGTGCTCACCTCAGCCCTTGCTGGCAACCCAGCCCCAAGCCTGCCTCTGACCCTGCCTCAAGCTCCCATCTCGGCCCCTGCCACAGCCCCATCATGGGCCCGGCCAACAGTCCCTGGGCCAGTCCCTGCCCCTGTGGGAGCCGCGGTCTTGGCCTCAGTGTCAGGCCCAGTCCTGCCAGCCCCTGCCCCGGACCTGGGCTGGAGAAGGACTGAAATCTTGCACCAGAACAATGAGAGGAGCTTGGGCTACACCAAGGCCCGGTAGGAGCCACTGCCCACTCCCCCATCCCCCTAAAAAGCCCCCCAAGATCACAGCCTTGTCCCAGATGCAAGTCCCTGGCATCTCTCTCTTGCAGACTCTGGTCCCTGTCACTGCACCTGCTGGTTCCCTCCCGTGTGTCCCCCTCTCTCCATCTCTCCTCATTTCTGTCTCCCCCACATCTCTCCCTGTCTCCTTTTCCATGGCTGATGCCTTTTCTCTAATTCCCCCCGAAGTGGTCTCTTCTCCCCCAATCCCCCTTTCCCTCGCCTCATTCCTCCTCTGGATTTCCCTTTTCCTGTCACTCTTGGTCTCTCCCCCGACGCCCCCCAAGGACTCCCCCAGGGCTGTTCCCATGTCCTCCTCTGGCAAAGTTCTCCCCAGCCCCTCCCGCACCTATTGGTGGCTGCCTCAAGCCAGGGTGGGCATCTGGATGTTGCCCTGGGCCTGGTTCTGTCCTCTGCAGGCGGGAGCCAGAAGAGCGCAGCCTCAAGTTGTATCAGAGCTGGGAGGAGAGGTCTGAGGAGCCCCTCACCCTGAAGCAAGAAGAAGGTGAGGGCAGCCCCTCGCCAGGCAGAGTCCGTGGTCCTTTGGGATTCCCAGGCTCGGGTGGAGTGGGGTGCTTTACAGATCACACTGTTACAGATCCACAGCCCTGTGTAGTGGACCCCGTGGGGGTTATCTGTCCTTGGCCTAGGGGGACAGCATGGGGTAGGAGACTGACCCAAGCTCACAAGGCCACAGAGCGGGGGGCAAGCACTCATGCTGAGTACCCTGGCTCAGGGCCCAGCTCTTCCAGAGCTGCCTCTCTGAGAGGGGGACATAAACCCTGCAAAGTGCTTTAGGTTTTGGAGGCATTTCTGTCCCCCTGCCAACCCAAGCCCACTATATGGGTCATCTTTAGAGGCAGCCTGGATGGAAGGCATCCCAGCCTGTCCTAGACAGTCCCTCACCATTTAATAGGCCACCAGCCCTGGACAGGTCCCCACTTCCCACAGCATCCCACCCCCACCAAAAAGTTTAAAAGTTGTGAACACCCCACCTGGTGAGCCGCTATGTCCTTTTATTGTCCTTGGGGCTGGGCCCTGTGATCCCACTCCCAGGCATCGCCCTGGCCCTACAAGAATGGGTGTGCATCCTCTTTCCATGCCTTGCTCCTCCCCAAAGTCTGTGACCCTCTTGGCCAGAGTCACCCCTTCCTCCGCCTTCCCTGAGTGCTCTTACTGGCTCCCGGTGACCCTTCCTTGAAGTTCACTCCTTTTAACATTAAAACTGGGCTGGCCCGGTGGCACACTGGAGAGTGCGCCGCTTGGGAGCGTGGCAGCGCACCTGCGGAGGGTTCGGATCCCATGTGGAGACCGGTTCCCGCTCACTGGCTGAGCGCGGTGCGGACACAACACCGAGGGTTGCGATCCCGTTGCCGGTCAGTAAAAAAGACAAAAAGGACAAAACAAAAACAAAAACAAAAAAACATTAAAATTCCCGTTGCCGGTCAGTAAAAAAGACAAAAAGGAAAAAACAAAAACAAAAACAAAAAAACATTAAAGCTCCCTGGCCACTTTTGGGGCCCTTTTCCAAGTACAGCACCCACTGCCTCACCTCTTCGAGGAGTTCATGAACAACATGCCACCTTGACTTAGAACTCAGGGTTCCCACTGCAACTGTCAGTCCCTGTCTAGTGAGGCAAGAGCTGACTGCTCTGCTCCAACAGCTCAAACCAGCAGGCATTTCGAACGATCACATCTGTTTCTGAGAGTTGTTCTGGGTTTTTCCTTTTGTACTGTGCCTGTCCATGTCTAGTGAGGCAAGAGCTGACTGCTCTGCTCCAACAGCTCAAACCAGCAGGCATTTCGAATGATCACATCTGTTTCTGAGAGTTGTTCTGGGTTTTTCCTTTTGTACTGCGCCTGTCCGTGGCAGTTCACCACCTACCCCAACCCTAATCCTAGCCCTACCTCTGCCCCACATTTCAGCTCTGTCCCGAGACTTACAAACATTCAGAGTCTACTACGTGCCAGGCACAGGAATCACACAACAGCTCTAGGAGGGTGCACTGCTGTTATGTCCATCTTACAGATAAGGAAACTGAGGCTCAGAGAAGTACGGTGACGCCCATGGTAACTCTGTTAGTCAGCTAGGGCTGCCATAACAAAGTTTCACAGACTGGGGTGCTAAAACAACAGACAGTTACTTTCCCACAGTGCTGGAGGCTACAAGTCCAAGATCAAGGTCCCGGCAGGGTTGGTTTCTTCTGAGGCCTCTGTCTTTGGCTTGTAGAGGGACCACCTTGCTGCTGTGTCCTCACATGGTCTTCTCTCTGTGCACACTCATCCCTAGTCTGTCTGTGTGTTCAAATTTCCTTTTCATGTAAGGACACCAGTCAGATTGGATCAGGGCCCACCTTAACGGCCTGGTTTTTATTTATTTTTAAGATGACCGGTAAGGGGATCTTAACCCTTGGCTTGGTGCTGTCAGCACCACGCTCAGCCAGTGAGTGAACCGGCCATTCCTATATAGGATCTGAACCCGTGGCCTTGGTGTTATCAGCACCACACTCTCTCGAGTGAGCCACAGGCCGGCCCTACAGTCTAGGGATTCTTAATAATTTTTTTTTATTTTTTATCACTCTCTCGAGTGAGCCACAGGCCGGCCCTACAGTCTAGGGATTCTTAATAATTTTTTTTTTATTTTTTTATTTTTTTATTTTTTTTTCCTTTTTGTCTTTTTTCGTGTCCGGCAATGGATCGCAACCCTCAGTGTCGCGCGGCAACGGGATCGCAACCCTCGGTGTTGCTCCCATACCTCGCTCAGCCAGTGAGCGGGAACCGGTCTGAATGTGGGATCCGAACCCTCGGCGGGAGCGCCGCCACACTCCCAAGCGGCGCACTGTAGCAGTGCGCCACCGGGCTGGCCCAATTCTTAATAATTTTTGAACAAGGGATCCATCCTGTATTTTCATTTTGCACTAAGTCCCACAAATTATGTAGCTGATCCTGGCTCCAAGAGCTAATGCTTCCTGAGCACCTATTCAGTGCCAGTTTCTGGGGACCCAGAGATGACCAAGACCTACCTCCTGACCCCAAGGTGTAGGTGATCTCAGAGGTCCCTTCCCTTCAGTCTGTCATGCATGCTTCATTGGATGTGCCTCCATGACTCGGTCACTCATTTTACCAGCCGTATGACCTTGGACAAGTCGCTGAATTTCACTAAGCCTCAGTTTCACCATCTGTAAAATGGGGCTGATAATAGTACCTATCTCACTAGACTGCTGTAAAGATGAAATGAGATAATCCAGGCAAAGCATTGAGCACAGTACCTGGTGCACAGAATGTGCCCAGGAGACATTAGCTGTTAGTATTATTTATCCAGTAAGTATTTACTAAATGCCTACCGTGTGCCTGTCCCTGTGCAGGGCACTGACAGTAAAGAGATGTGCAAGACACATGAGACTCTGCCCTTGAGAGGCTCACAGAAACGGTTACTGCTGTTGGGTAAATGCCAACACAGAAGAGGGCACCAGTGGAAGCAGCATTTAAAGTGGCTTGAAAAAAGGGTCAGGAAGGAAGACTTCCTGGAAAAGGTGATGCCTGAGCCAAGTTGTGAAAGATTAATCAGGAGCTAGGCAGGAAGATGGAGGAAGAAGGGCGTTTCTGGTGGCAGAAATAGCCTGTTCAAAGGAAAGAGAGTGCAGAGTGAGAGGAATCACATGTGGTTCAGTGCAGCTAGATGCAGGGAATGATGGGGGGCGTGGGGAGCAGCAGGGCTGTGCAGGGCCTGGGATCCTGACCACTCGGTGTCATGACTCTATTCCCTCCATCACCGCACAAGTGCAAATCCTCACACACAAGTCAGGAATCCACCCCAGCTCTGCCCCCGTGTGACTCTAGGCAAGAACCTTCTTTTCTTTGTGCCTCAGACCTCATCCGTGACATGCGGATGAGAGTATTAAGCACCTCCTTATGGCTGCTTTAAAGATTAGAGACCATCCATTCACTTGTCAAGTAGTTCAGAGAATAGCTACTAAGCACCTGCCTGTTTTAAGCCCTGAGAACACAACGCAGAATAAAACAGACCCAGTTCCTGCCTCACAGAACCTCCGTCAAATTCCAGATCTTACAAGTGTGTGGTTGAAATACAGGGGTTTTATGAAAGGGTTTTATGGGGCATCGGACCTGGTCTGGTCTGGATCTCAGACCAGAGGAGGGGATAGTCAGGTGGAAGCATGCATAGGACGTTTGCTAAGTAGAGGAGTTGGAGCGTGGTGGAGAGAATTCTAGGGAGAGGAAGCAACACATGCAAAGGCCCTGAGCAGGGAAGAAGGTGGCCCCAGGTGGGAAAGCAGGTTAGTTCCGGGCAAGCTTGGCACAAGGTGAGGCTGGAGACAGGTAACAGGCAGATCTTGCAGGGTCTTGAAGGCCAAGGTGGGAGTGTTGTGTGTCCACGTTCTTATGCAATGACTAGCTCACGGTAGTAATAACAGTCTCAGATATTTAGTATGTGTTAAATGCATGGCCGTTGTTCTAAGCACTTTGCCTCATTTTATCTCCTGTGAGGTAGATATTATAATTATCCTAACCCTGTAGATGAGAAAACTTAAGCTTAGCGAGGTTAAGAGACTTTGCTCCAAGTACACGGATAGGAAGTGGTGGACCTGGGATATGAACCCAGACTGCTGCCTCTAGGATGCTGTTCTGGTAGCTTCCAACCCAGGAGATTTTAATTTTTGCCTTCTCCTTCCTTGTGTGCCCCACATTTTCTGCATTGAATGTACATTACTTTTATAAGCAGACCCAATAAGTAACTGCTAATAACTATGCTTGGGTTGCAATGCCTGGACTTCTTCTGGAAGGCCCCTGCCCACCCAGTTACTCCTCTGGCCTCCACAGGAGATGGTCATGTGGACTTCGGAGACTTCTTGGCTGTGATGACAGACACCAAGCGCTTCTTCTGCTCTGTGGGTGAGCAGGGACAAGCCCAAGGAAGTCAGAGCTGGAGAAGGGGACAGAAGGCTGGTGTTGGGAGGGTGGGCATTCAGGGTCACCAAGTGGTAATGGCAGACACCATCCCATGTTCCCAGAACAGAATGCCCTGACGGACATGGCTCCCCCGAACCCCCACACTCTGCTCTTTGAGATCCTGTCCCTGCTGGTGGAGATGCTGGCCTTACCAGAGGCAGCCTTAGAGGAAATCACAAAGTGAGTGGAGCTGGTTTGTTGGGGGTGGAGGGTGGAAGGTTGCAGATGCAGAAGTAGCACCTAGTGTTTTGGCAGCTGAGAACTTTTGATAGTTTGGACTCTCAGTTGCAGGTGAAGAAACTGAATAAAAGTGGCTTAAGCAAAAGGGGATTGTATTGACTCAAATAACTGGTCAGAACCTCAGAGATGGCTGGATCCAGGAGAACAAATGATAGCAGGAAGGCTTTATCTCTGCATCTGCCCATCTCTGTGCACTGCCTTCGGCCTCAGCTAGGCTCTCTCCACAGGGGAAGGGATGGCATTGGCAATCCCATACTCACTCCCTCCTAGTGCAGCAACCTCAGCAGCAAGAGGAATTCTTTCCTGCAGTAGCTATATAGCAACCCCAGAAAAGGAATCTGATGGACTCTGCCTGGGGCAGGGGACACAAGAGTCTCCATGTCTCCAGGGCAGGTGGATGGGTAGGTCCATCTAAGGAAGACATGGCTGGAGGCAAAAACAACATGAACATTCCAGGGCTAGAAGCAAAGGGTGAAAGAAGAACGGCCTAGTTGATCTCCAAACAGCAGTTTCAGGCCCTCATGCCTCAAAGGACCCCTAGCCTCCATTTTCTGTCTTTGAAATGAACATATTTTAATATTTGCTGCTCAGTAAATGCTAGCTTTCAACAGAGGTAGTTACGAGAGTCAAACGAGATCAGAATGCAAAAGGTACCAAAGTCGAGCTCTGCCTGTGCCTCTTACTAGTTCTGTAGCCCTGGACAAGTCGCTTTCTCTCCGAGCCTCAGTTTCTTTGTCTGTAAAATGGAGACTTATTTCCTGGAATCTTTAGTGCAAGTGATGGAAAGATATGAGGGTAGTTCACAGAACTGAACCTGCAGGGACTGGGGTCTCAGCCCACTAGGGCCTTCTCACCATGTATCACGCAGAAGCTTGTTCCTGCCGCTCTAGTTGGAATCATTTTTTCCTACTGCAGACCAGGCCTTTTCTGCATGGGGCTGGGGGCTGGGGGGAGGAAAATGACTGCAGCCTGTTCCAGCAGCACCAACTTAGCAACCCCACAGACAAGAGACCTTTTTCCTCCCAGCATCTGTAAATTGCTCAGAATATATGTAATTCTAAAGAGCATAATGTAACTTTAAAAAGCAATGAGACAAATTCCCATGTACCCACTAAAATGTATCATTTCCAGTAAGTTTGAAGCCCCTGTTTGCCCCACTCCATAACAAAACACTTTGTCTCCAAACAAGACCTAACCATTTTCCCCTTGCTTTTTGTTTCTTAATTTCACTGCTGATTTTTTCCCTTGTTGTTTTTCAAACATACAGCAAAGTTAAAACAATTTTACAGTGAACGTGTATACCTACCGTCTAGAGTCTACCATCACCATTTTACTGTACTTTAAAAACATTTTTTAAATTAATTTATTTTGTAGGGCCGGCCCGTGGCTCACTCGGGAGAGTGCAGCGCTGATAGTGCCTGAGGCTGCGAGTTCGGATCCTATATAGGGATGGCCGGTGCACTCACTGGCTGAGTGTGGTGCGGATGACACCGAGCCAAGGGTTGCGATCCTCTTACGGGTCAAAAAAAACCACATTAATTTATTTTGTAATTGACATGCATTGATTATATTTGTACATATTTATGGGGTACAGAGTTATATTGCAATACATGTATACGATGTGTGATAATCAAATCAGGGTAATTAGCATATTCATCATCACAAAAATTTATCATTTCTTTGTGATGAGAGCGTTCGAGCTCCTCTCTTCTAGCCATTTGAGATCATACAATAAATTATTGTTAATTATAGATTCCTAGCAATACAGTAAACCACCAGAATTTATCTTTCCTATTGAACTGTAATTTTGTATCCGTTAACCAACCTCTCCCTATTTCACCTTCTCTTCCTCCCCTTCCCATCCTTTAGTAATCACAATTCTTGTCTCTACTTCAATAAGCTCAGCTTTTTTTAGCTCCTACATATGAGTGAGAACATGCGGTATTTATCTTTCTGTGCTCAACTTAATTCTCTTAACATAATGTCTTCCAGGATCATCCTTGCTGCAAATGACAGGATTTTATTCTTTTTTATGGCTGAGTAGCATTTCATATGTGTGTGTGTGTGTGTGTGTGTGTGTGTGTGTGACATTTTCTTTATCCATTCATCTGTCCATGGAACCTAGATTGATTCAATATCCTGGCTATTGTGACTAGTGCTACAATAAACACGGGAGTGCAGATATCTCTTTGTTATGCTGATTTCCTTTACTTTGGATAAATACCCAGCAGTGAGACTGCTGGATCATATGACAGTTCTATTTTTAATTCTCTGAGGAAACTCCATACTAGCTCTACTAATTCCATAATGGCTGTACTAATTTATATTCCCACCAACAGTGTCTGAGAGTTCCCTTTTCTCTGCATCCTCACCAGCATTTGTTATTTTTTGTCTTTTGGTAATAGCCATTCTAACTGGGGTGAGATAATATCTCATTGTGGTTTGGGGTTGCATTTCCCTGATGATTAGTGATGTTGAGCGTTTTTTCATATACCTGTTGGCCATCTACATGACTTCTTTTGAGAAATATCTATTGAGGTCTATATTTTTATCATGTATCTATTATTCCCTGTATCTATCCTTCAATCCATATCATTTTTTATTCATTTCAAAGTAAATTATAGTATTTCCTTCTAAATACTTCAGCATACATATCATTAACTAAAGTTCAGAATTTATGTGGAGCTTTCTTTTTTCATCTTTTGAGGTATAATTGACATTCAGTGAAATGCACAAATGTCGGGCCGAGCCCGTGGTGCACTCGGGAGAGTGCTGCGTTGGGAGCGCAGTAGCGCTCCCGCCACGGGTTCGGATCCTATATAGGGATGACGGGTGCGCTCACAGCACTCACTGGCTGAGCGCGGTGCGGCAGGTCTCAAAAAAGGACAAAAAAAAAGAAATGCACAAATGTCAAATGTACCGCTGTGTATTAGCCTGGGTTCTTCAGAGAAATTGATTGTCTCACATAGTTAGGGAGGCTGAAAAATCCCAAGATCTGCAGTCAGCAAGCTGGAGACCCAGGAGAGCAAATAGTGTAAATTCCAGTTTGAGCCTGAGTCTGAAGGCAGGAGAATACCAATATAGCTTAAAGACAGTCAGGCAGAGAATGCAATTTATTTCTTCTTCAGCCTTTTCGTCCTGTTCAGGCCTTCAGTGGATTGGATGAAGCCCACCCACGCTGGAAAGGGTAATCTGCTTTATTCAGTCCACTGATCCAAATTTGGGAAGTTTTCAGCCATTATTTCTTTAAATATTCTCTCTTCCCTTTTCTTTTTCTCCTCCCCTCCTGGAACATTCCACTTCTGGATGTTAATCTCATCCAGAAACACCTTTACAGACACACTCAGAATAATATTTAACCAAATAGCTGGGCATCCAGTGGCTCTGTCAAGTTGACACATAAAGTTAACCATAACCCATTGTGTGAATCTCAAAAAACGCATACACCCAGGCGACACAACCCCTATCAAGACATGTAGAACTTTACAATCTTTCCAGAAAATGCCCACAGGCTCCTTGCCAGTTAGTCTCTGAACCCACTCCTCCAAAGGCAATCACTCTTCTAATTTTTTCATCACAGATTGGCTTTGCCTGTTTTACAACTTTGTATAAATGGAAATGTGTCGTCTTCTGTGTCTAGCTTCTCTCACTCAACTGAAAAGGCTATGTACAGTGTGATTCTGACTATATGACATTCTGGAAAAGGCAAAACTATGGAGTAAAAAGATCTGTGGTTGCCAGGGGCTTAAGGGGTAGAGAGGGATAAACAGGCAGAGCACAGATTTTTAGAACAAAGAAACTATTCTGTAATCCACTATAATGGTGGATCCATGACATTTTACATTTGTCAAAACCCACTGTACAACACAAATGGTAAACCTAACGTAATCTGGGAATGTCTTAATTTCTCCCTCATTATTTTTAATTTTTTTTTAAAGATTACCAGTAAGGAGATCTTAACCCTTGACTTGGTGTTGTCAGCACCACGCTCTCTGAAGTGAGCTAACCGGCCATCCCTGTGTAGGGATCCGAACCTGTGGCCTTGGTGTTTTCAGCACCACACTATCGCAAGTGAGCCACAGGCTGACCCCTCTCCCTCATCCTTGAAAGACAGTTTTGCCAGATATAGAATTTTTGGTTGATAGGTTTTTCTTTTCTTTTAGCACTTTGAATATATTGGCTTGCTGCCTTCTGGCCTCCAAAGTTTCCGATGAGAAATCTGCTGATTATCTTACTGAGGATCCTTTGTGTGTGACGAATTGCTTCTCTCTTGTTGCTTTCAGGATTCTCTTCGTTTTTGGCTTTTTATTTTATTTTTTTTTTCCTTTTTGTCTTTTTTCGTGTCCGGCAACGGATCACAACCCTCAGTGTCGTGCCCGTACCGGACCAGGACCGGCAACGGAATCGCAACCTCAGTGTTGCACCCGCACCTCACTCAGCCAGTGAGCGGCTGGTCTGTATGTGGGATCCGAACCCTCGGCGGGAGCGCCGCCGCACTCCCAAGCGGCACACTGTAGCAGTGCGCCACCGGGCCGGCCCGTTTTTGGCTTTTTAAAAAAATGTTCTTCAATACTTTTTCTTACCTATAAAGAAACACTGGATGTCTTTGGCTTTTTAAAGTTTGATTATAATGTATCGCGGTATGGGTCTCTTTGAGTTCATCTTTCTTGGAGTGTGTTGAGCTTCTTAGATGTTTATATTCACATCTTTTATCAGATTTGGGGAGTTTTCAGCCATTATTTCCTTTTTTTTTTTGTCCTTTTCGTGACTGGTAAGGGGCTCGCAACCCTCGGTGTGGTGTCACCCACACCGCACTCAGCCAGTGAGCGCACCGGCCATTCCTATATAGGATCCGAACCCGTGGCAGGAGCGTCGCTGCGCTTCCAGCGCTGCACTCTCCCGAGTGCACCAAGGGCTTGGCCCAGCCATTATTTCTTTGA